ACTGGTCCAAAGCTGCACACATTCTCACATGAACTCAATTCTAGAAAATCCTGACGACCAACTACGCTCCTGTTTAGAGTAAAACCAACCATAAAACACCACGATTTAATACTGCAGAATTTCAGGTTTCTACAGATCGGTGGAGCTCTCAAACATGTGACGTCCACACGAACTTACTGTAAAATATTTACCACAAATCATGGACCAATGTCAGACTTTCAGACCCATTTATGTCACAGCAGAACGTTCGCTTCGTGGGCAGCGTCTAGTTCAGATCTGTGGGTCAGATACTGCCCATCAAACCCTGGGACAAGGTATGGTGAGGTCAAATTTTGGTCAACGTTCTACATCCAACTATTACACTAACTGCCCACCAGTGAAACTCTGGACCTTGTTTTGGCCCGTGTTACCAAAACCTTAGCCCGACCCTTGGCCTAATTCGTGATCACATGTCTTCAGGTGGCACTGCTCCAATTTCCTGCACTGCAGTACAAACCTACTGTAACATTTAACATTAACTTGGTACTGACACAGACTGATTTCTCCTTCAAACCAAACTCAAAGAGAAGAAACTCGGATGTTCAGAAAACGTAGGTGAGCCAAGATGAAGCCTGACTCAGTGTTTCACCAACTCGACATCAGAAACACTGGGATGATGACTGAATAAAAACCACTTTTATTGGTTCAGACCAAAGTCATCAGTCACAGTTTGCAACGAATGACAGGAGACAAATCCCACTTCAGCAGTGGGTGTAATGCCATTGAAAATTGCATGACTTCAGAGTTTGTTCTCTAACAACTCGAGGTTGTTGAGCAGAGTTGTCTACATGTTGATTTAATAGACGCTTCGCTGGAGGATTATCTAACTGGGAGATGCAGCGCACGGATGTGGAGCTGGTTTCTACCCATCCAGAGCCAGAGTGAGTCAGTTGCTGGCACAGTCCGCGCCCCTTACTGTTTCTGGAGAAATATGTGCATTTACAAGGGTAGTGCATTGTTCCTCCGACCTCATCTTTCCAAATGAAATACACATGCAGTCTGGCAAGTGCGCCGTCCTCCATAAAAGTGCAGGCACTGTCTGTGAGGTTGGCAGGTCGGCCTGAAATGACGAGTTTCCAGCACAGCAACGGGGCCTGATAACAGCCCTACAGTATGTGGGTGGACGGAGCTGTTGCTACAAAGCGTTCTTGGACCAGAGTCAGGCCCTTACCCATAATTCTCAGTGTGAGTAACCCGTGTTGTGATGGTGTGAACGACTGTTGGATCTCAGTTGATGTGAAAACAAAAATTGAACGAGGTGTGAAAATGTGCAGATTATGACAGATGGACAACAGTATATTTTTGGCCACTTTTTAATAAGACAGCGATGTCCAACAGGGGGGCGAGGCCTCCCTCGGGGTTAAGGAGCTAATGAGTTTGAAGATTTTTCTTTATTTTTGCCAGACTAGGGAAATTACACAGTTATAAATCAAATTCATTGGTTTGATTCAAATATCCAATTTGCAGAAATTAAAATGTTCAACGGCGTTTTGAAGTAATTCACTCTGAGTGTGTGGACGTGGGGGAGCTTGGAACGAGTCCGACCTACATGGCGGAAACGGGGATTGCAGAAAAGGTTTGGTGACGGCTGCATTAATACTTTCAGTGATATCTCCTGTTCAACAGAACCTTCACACACTCTTCCCCACCAAACACACGGAGCGGTGGGACGAAACCTAAGAAGACCACACTGCGACGTGTGGAATCTCTCGGCTGCACCTGCACACACACACACACACAGATGTCGTTCCTGGACATTCCATTCTCTGACAGATGACCACAGCGAGACATATTGAAAAGCTGTTGTGTTTTCTGGTGGATTTGACAGAATGAGGAACTTATATCACCAGCGGTTTCCAAGACATTTTACACATTTTCAGATTCAAGTTTTTGTAGTCGTTTTACCGGTCACTCAGGAGTGAGAACTAACAGCGGCGGCTGCTCTGCTCCTTAACTCTCTGCTCTTTAGCTCATGGGAACTCAGATGACCCTGCATTCAGAAGGAATACAGTCTTAAAGAGCTGGTGCAAAAACACTTTTCTTTGTTTTTCAACCATGGCAACTGTAAAGGATCTAACTGGACTTGAGGTGGAAATGACCAAGGCCAGCAAATGGACAAATGATTAGATTTTTTTTTTAAGGTTATCTTACTTAGACTGAGTTCTTGCAACATTTTTGGCTAAAGTTATCTATTGCATGCATCATTTATATTTGGGATAATTATCTAATTTATTATGTATTAATTGTTGTGTAACATTTAGGCGTTGTCCTGTGAACTTTTGGACAATTACTTTAAGATACTTACTGGGATTAATCTCAGAATAACATTTTTAGTTACTAAGTAACTCTTATCTTTATATCAAGCTAACCCTGTGTTTTCCCGAGAGACGTCAGACCAGTATCCGTGCAGGTCAACGTCCATATTCAGGGCAGCCTTACCTTCGTCACACAGGTTGAGTTTGGACAGGTTGTGTCCATCGTAGGCCTCTTCGTACATGGAGCCGCTCTCCCGCTCCTCGTACGTGCTCAGATACATGGCTTTGTTCTCCATCGTTACCTAAACGAAGAGGAAACCACGGTTTGAGCCACTTTTCACACTTTTACACCAAATCCACAACAACTTCAATGATAAAAATGTAATATTCAGACCAAACGTAGTGAATACGTCGGAGATACTCGTGTGACTCGGCAGACCAGTGTTCAACCTGCTACATGCCCTCTGTTGCTAGAAGACGTCCAAGTTAAACAAAGAGCAGGAAACTCTAGCATGATGACTGAGGTCGAGTCTTGACCGGCGGTTGTGAAATAAGTTCTTTCTGCCAACTGAACTGGACGGGATCTGAGACTTCACCTCACTTCATTTGTCTACTTTTTTTCTTTTTTTTTTTTTGGAAGACATTTTCAGGGTAATGTTTAAGAAATAGAGGAAACCCAAGTCACGGGGCAAGAAGACCAACAGGCCGTGGTGACAGGGGTGGAAGTTGTTATGGTTTCTCTAATAACAGGTCAGTGGAGCCAAACTCCACGTTATTGGATCTGTCAAGCTCTGGGTCGAACACCGAGGAACACACATCCAACGGTGACGGTTTGACCGGCAGCTGGGATGGAGTGGAGAAATCTACACAAATACTTCACACATCCGTCTCCACCGCTTTGATGTGAGAGCCCCGTGGTGTGTTCTGGGTATTCCTGGGGGTGTTTGGTGGAATTTGCTTGGAATCTCCTCAGAGAGAAATCTTGGAGCCCCCCCCCCCCCCCCACTCCCTCGACCTCCCCAAACCAACCAGTCTGAATCTACTCAAAGAAACATGTGCTGTCAAACAATTAAAAGTTCGGATCTGATTAATGGCAGGGTAGCTGTGGATTGATCACAGTTAATCATGAGATTTTTCAGAGCTCGAGGCCAAGTTTGTGACATACGTCGGGAGAAAAACTCGTCCCGTGAGGACCAGATGTGTCTGGCGTGACTCGTACAGATGGGGGACAGTGTCAACCAGCAGGTGGAGCACCGCTGAGACGCTGTTTACAAACCTGGCACAATGGAACGTCTGCACATCACAAACAGATTGAACTGCGTCCCCCCCCCCCCCCCCCCGGCCCTCCTTCCTTCTGTTTTCTCTCTTCCACATCACCCTGCGGCCGTGCAGCGCCCTGTTTACCCTGAACCCAGCACATTTGTTCTGGAGGTTTGCACAGGGTTTTTCTCACGATACACGTGGTGCAGACCAAACAGGAGTGGAAAAAAAGCCAACAAACGGAGAGGAGTCGTGACATCAAATCTGCTGCTGTAAGACGACTGTTGAACTCCCACCAGCCCCAGACGGTGGCAGAGCTGGTGGTGTTTGACGTTCAGTCGTTAAAAAGTGCTCGGTGTAGACTTTTTCATTACACAGTGGAGGAGGGAACGGAGGGAACGCGGGGGGTCAGCTTGACATTTGTACTGACGTCTGTGCAGGAACCTGCTGCTAGGAGATGCTCCTGAACTCCTCACACCCCCCTGGAGGTCTGTGTGGATTTGGGGAGGGGGGGTCTCTTTAATAAAACCAGGTTTAAACGTTGACACTTCAGGCAAAACTGGTCAGAGTGCAATCTTTATTTGTTTGTTTGTTTGTTTTATTTCCAGGACCTTACTGCACTCTGCCAGTAGAGGGGGTTGGGGTTGTTTTTTTAATGATCACAGTGGGAATGAGGGGCAGCTGCAGTGACAGACTGTGACTTGACTTATTGTCTGTGCTGATTTTTCATTATCTACACACTGTAAGTCACCGCCTGTCAGTGATGTTGGTAAAAAAAAGAAGCTGGAGTTTCACTCCGAGACAGACAAGACAGGAAACAATTATCTGGTCATCTGCCGTCGCGCCCAGATTTATGCCCCCAACGGAGCATTTCATAGTGAAGTCAGAGGGAAGTGGTGTGTGTGTGGTCTCGGATGTCACTGTTATATATGAACGAAGTTTATAAATCCACCACAACTTCACACCAGACACATGTAAACGTCTATTTATACTGTTATAAACAACAACAACTACGCGACCTCCAGTTCTGGCAGATAAACGTTCTCTGTATATGAATATCTGCTTCTAAATCTGCATTATTTAAAGCACCACGCCAGTGTCTATACGTGGATAAATTCCCATGTCTTTGCCCAGTCATCCATGTGCAACATTAACCCATTTTTTCCCTCCCCCTTTTCACCCCCTCCCCCCCGTGTTCCTGCCTAATTGAACAGAGAGATAGGGCTTCCTCACCCCTGACCGCTGAAACACAAAGTGACAGTTTTCTGTGGATGAGCTCCAGTAAATTAAATGTTCACTTCCTGCTCTTTTCATAACGAAACAGCCTCCCCCCCTCATGGAACACACACACACACACACACACTTGTACATAACAGATTTACTCAAGTGTAATGAAAGAATGAACTGATGTCAAACCAGAAAGGTCAAAGTTCACTTGGTGCACACTGATCCCACCACCCCTTAGCTTTTTGCTAATGTACATGTACACGTTCTTATTATGACATTGATTTAATTTAATTTGATAGCTAGTTTTGACAAATCTTTTGATCATTTTCTTTTTCATTTTAACCTTTATTTTCCTAGTTGAAATTATTTATTTTTTGCTCATTTGTAGCCAATTTTTCTAACTGTTTCTTGGCTAACATGGAGCTTCTTTTGTATTCCCTGGTGTAACCGTGTGAAAGACACGGGATTCTTGCATTAAATGACACTAACTCTGAACTGTGTCACTTGTTATGCAACACAACACTGACCAAAAACTGCACGTGCAGGGAAAAAAAAAAAGTTCGTTTTTGTGTTGTTTTGTGAGCAAATTTAGCTGCGAACACGACAGGTGCAGTTCGTCCACTGACAGGTTCGACAGTCAAGCATTCAGCACCAAACTGTGATTAATTCGAGTTACAAAAGTCTTGTCTCACCTTGTCAGCTGTCAGAGTGATGAAAAACCAAGTGATGAAAACAAAAAACCCACTACAGCATCATCGTCTCCACACAGAACCAGCTGCCTCCTGACGGTGAAGACCCAGGTTCCGTCTCCCAGCTGCCTCCTGACGGTGAAGACCCAATCTTCAGTCGGTCACCGGTGTCATTAGAACTTCCCTGAAGGTGAGGATCCACTCTGTTCATACAGAAGAACAGGGATTTAAACCCACAACTGCACCGTGGACCGCGTCTTCCTGTCCGTGTCCTCGCGTCTCTCAGCTCTGCAGTGAAGCACAAAGTCACTCATTTGGAGTAATATACCCACAACAAGATCACGTGGCCGTCACTTCAACTACAGCTGGAGACGCGGCTGCTGCCAAGCAGCGAGTGAACACGCGGAGAAGAAAACCTGCGGGAGACCCAGTGGCACGCTGGCGCCCCCTGTGGGTTGAAATTGGACCTGGATAGAAATAATTTTGAACCTATCGACCTGTTTGTTTTTTTGTTTCAATCACTGAAGGTCCAAATGATTAAACCCTGGTACAGACAAGAAAGTGACGTCTCACCACGACAACTGACACTTCAGACAATCAACCAACAAAAGATGTGCTTGGCAGTTGTGTATATTTTCCCCTCGTCATCTTTATTTTTTAGTTGATTTTTTTTATTATATGACACACTTCAAGAGATCTTTATTTTTTAGTTGATTTTTTTTATCAAATGACACACTTCAAGAGACAAAGTCAACAAATCAAGGGCAACATGACTTTTATTATAATATTTACAATCGGAGGAAAACTAATTCAGCAGCAAAGCAAACGCAGCCTCTGTTTCAGTGTTCATTAACAATTTTCATTCTACAATTACCAAAATACAAACAACAACAAACATTTGATGTTTGGTCTAAAGGACAAAATAAGCAGAAGACGTTTTAAGTTGAATCAGAACACACTCTCTTGACTGGACTAAAGATAATCATTTGAACACCTGACGATCAGCAATAATATAAACCTACAAATGCTGTGAAAGCTGCTCTTTATGGAATTTAAAACAAATAGCAGTTACTGCTATGGCTGCGTATGAATTCAAATATTTTAAAACATATCTGTAAATACTAAATGAACACGTTCTTAAACATAGGCTTCTCTCTGCGTCTCATGAGATGAAGTTGTAAACGAGAAACGTAGGGGTGTTGCAGTAGTTGCTGGCAAATAGTTTACCGTCAGGTGTCGGGTCAGAGAAGGCGATTTCAGTCTTGGAGAGGTGACTGCCGAAAATGAACGTGCTCCTGCACAAGGGCACAAAGTAGGTACAATATATTTTCAATTTAAATGATTGAGAAATTGGTTTTTGTTTATAGAAAAATAATGAATGATCAGAAACATGATGGGACACCGTACCTGACTGTGTCCAGCATGCGTGTGGCGATGCTCTGTCGTCGGGCCAGACTGAAGACCCAAATCCGACTGATCCCGCACAGAGCTGGTTCCGGGGAGGTGGAGCAGCACCAGGCTCTGTGCCGCTCCATGAAGTCTTCTTTACTCATGTCCTTGTGTTGGTCCTGCTGCTCCAGGACTCTGTACGCCTGGAGGCCGCAGAAACACAATCAGGTGACGCTCGTTTAAAAAAAAAAAAAAAACTCTCTGAAACCCGTCAAACCTGTCGTATGTGCTCGGCCACCAGACATCCCACCACCATTCTGTCTGTGTTGACAAACAGGTAGGTCTTGGCCTGTGAGGGGCTGCTCAGAGTCACCTGCTGGAAACCAAGCTCACTGTCTGCAACCTGACGCACTTCCTCGGCCTGAAGAACATCGACGTAAAAAAAAAAGAACAAACCAGGTTATTTCTCCTGACAGCAACACGACAAAGATGTGTTTTGAGAAACTCACCTTTTTCACGGCATATTTGGGATCATCTGGCAGAACCAGCAGAATCTTCCCATCCCAGAATTCAGACACAACTCGCTCTTTCTTCCATCCCTGAAAACACAAGAGAGGTGGCTGTAACTTAAAGAACTTTAAAAAAATCTAATTAGAAACTTAAAATGGACAAAGATAAAAGTCTCAAACCATTTTAACGTATAAAATGTTACATCGGCAAAAAAAGAAAACATTAAACTGGCACTTAAAATGGACAAAGATAAAAGTCTCAACACATTTTAATGTATAAAATAAACTAGCACTCATTTCATTTGATTTTTTTTTTTACTTCAATCAAACAAATGTTCTGGCCACTGACTGATAAAGATTTCTTTAATTTTTTTTTTTACTTCAATCAAACAAACCTTCTGGCCACTGACTGGTAAAGAATTCTTTTTATTTCTTTATTCTGTCATCAGTTTAAATACTTTTGTATGTTTTTATATTAAAAAAAGTGGAAAATCTTCTCACCACAAATTTGATGGAGTCGACGAAACGCTGGTGAAACTGAGTGTGTTGAAAAGTGTCCTCTGGGTTGTCAATGCTGTAGACCATCCCACAGGAGCTGCAGGTCACAGCTCCAAACTGCTTCTGACCTGCATCCTAAAAATAAATAAAAAATAAAATCAGCCTTTACAAAACCAGACATTCAGGTAAATTTCAAAATAAAACATTGAACTCTACATACAATGATGAGCTGATTGTGGTCTTGTTTGTCCTTTTTTCTACGAACGCTGCGCTCCTTAGCTGCAGAGGGAGTCTGCATTGACATGATGGGGCCATTGGGGGTGCTGCAGCACACTTGGGCCTGTGGAGATGCTTTCTTTGACCTACCAGAGTAAGAAAAAAAATTAACAAATTTAGAGACTTAAAATAAGTGGAAACACTCTCCAGGAAGTTCTTAGTAATTTTGATACTGAAACCTTATTGGTTAAGAAAACATATCCTAGTGACATCATAGCCAACATCATCAGAAATGTTATGGATTTGTGAAGGTTCTGACATGGTTACCTTTTGGAGGCAGAGCCAAAGATTGGATACATTGCTGCAGACGCTGTGGATTAAAAAAAAAACAGATGAGAAATGATTAAGTCTAAAGGTCAAAGGTCAAAGGTGTCATCAGAGACTTGGTTCTGTTCAGTCGAGTTACTTTGTGAAGTGTTGGAGCCACTGCTGGTGGGACTGATGTCACTCAGGTCAAAGACGGGATCAGAACCTCCTTCTGTCTGTGATTCCTTCTGGAAAAGAGAAGAAAAGTAACGGTTAAAGACAGAGGCTGACCCCGGGTCACAGTGTACGACTGCAGCTGTTCAGAAACATGTCACTACCTGGGAGTTGATGGAGGAGGAACCTGTTGGCAGTGGACACCTCGTCAACACAACACGCAGCTTCTTGGTGATGACATGTTTTTCTTTAGGTGAACTGAAGACAGAAGGAGACATTTTTTTAAAATATTAAGTTAAAAATCAAGAGTTTTAGAACAAGGAAACATGATCCATGATACGTTCTGTTTACGACATGTACCTCAGTGGCTCTACAGTCGGAGGCTCGTCATCAAAAAGGTCCATCCACTCTTGTGGATTGAACTTTGTTCTCTTTTTGGTGCTAGAACCATTCTCTTCAGTTCTGACCGACTGGACGCTGGGCTGAAGGAACCAACCAGGATCAAAAAGTGTGATCACTGCATTATTTCATTTATATCTAAAACTAATTTGAATTTTTTTCCCTCCACAGTTTAGCCAATTATGTAAAAAAAGATGAGGTAAAGTCAAAAGTTGGGATGACTTTGACTTTTATAATTATAAACATCGTCAGTTTATGGAAACTGACATTTTCCCACCAGTTTCACTGCCAATTCAAACATTCGTCTTCAGATGAACCCAAACTGTTCTGACTCCGTGGTTCTGCTCACCTTTTCATCCCGTTTTTGTTTTTGGTTCATCTCCAGTGCAGGTTGCTGCTGTACCGCCTTTTCACTTTTTGTCGGTGGTGGCGCTGTTGCCTGACTCTTCCCAGATGCCGGTGCTGGTCTGCTGCAGGCCTTTGGTGCAGACTTCTTGTAAATGGACCTCGGTTTCTTCCCGGTGGCGAAGAAGGCAGCGCCGACGAAGATCTTTGGTCGAGGCTTCATGCTGCTGAAGGTGACAGTGATGGCTTTCTTGGTGTCCATAGCTTTTGGAAACCAGGTGGGGGCAGCAGCAGCAGCAGCAGCAGGTGTTGTTGTGGTGGCAGGTTTACCTGTGTCACTGCTGAGGAAGAGATGAAAGAATAATGGACAAGGTCATTAAGAATCAGACCAGAGTCTGGACCACGTTTATGTCAAATGACAAACCTGTTCAGTTTTGAAAGTTTGATCCTCTTTGTAGACGTCACATAACTTTTGATTCCTGTCTCCACTGGTTTTTTGGATCCGACGGAAGCCTTTCGTTTGATGGTGCCTGTTGCTTTAGTTTTCTTGGTCTTTCTCTGTTGCTTTTTAGACTGAGAAGGAGGCGATGGGAGAGCAGGAGGAGGAGGGGGAGGAGGGGAGGGTAAAGAATCTTTGATGGCTTTCCTCTCCAGTGGAGTGAGATAGATGGTCTTCTGTTTGCCATAGAAGCAGCTAGACACTACTTTTTGTTTGAAGGGAGAATTACGAAGAGATTTGGACGGCGAATCTAGGCAAAGGAAATAAAAGACTATTACAAGAACACGACCACAAAACAACTTTCACACTGGGCAAACATCAAATACCTGCTAGTCTACGTGGGGATTTTCGTGGCGAGGGGCAGTTTTCCTTATCCAGGTGACCACGAGGATCCTTCCTAGGAGACTGATGATGCTTCCTCGGGGATCTCCTCTTCACAGGAGTTGTCTCCGCTCTGACTCCTTTCTTGGCTGGATGACTGATGTACAAGCAACAGAAGAGGAGAAATGAAATCACGTTTAGGTGAAATAACTGCAACTAAGGCATAAAACAACTGCTATTGGATAATAATGGTCACAAGATTAGCCATAAAAATGATTTTTAAGAGCCAAAAAAATGTTAATTACTCTACATATGCAATTACAAAAACAATGACTTACAACCGAGTGTATGGTTTTAACTGGATAAATGTACCTGTCATGGTCTAGAGAGGACAGCTTCCTCTTCCTGGTGGAGACCGTGGGCATCATTTTACCGAGTAGATCCTGTACACAAACAAAAACAAATGTTTAGACCTGCGTTTGGAAAACATTTTGTTTACAAAAGGCCGTAAATGAGACTTGAAGGCCTTGACGAAGTTGTGCGTTTGTAGATTAAACAGGTCGATTTTGGCTTTGGTGGCTCCGTGTTATTGACACGAGAATACTGAGGCTGTGGATGTGGACGCCGAACTACAGCCACTAACCGTACCTTAAGAAACCACTAACATGTTAATGACTAATGGCAACACTAATAAACGTTTCCTGTTCACAATGGCACCGAATTGACATTAGGATCCAACATCCTAATGTAGCAAAACCGAAGTCGAAATAATTGTTTTGCGGCGACAAGTACACGCGACCAGTCTGATTAAGACGTACAGTAAATAAGTTTATACTAAAACAAAAATAAAACGTTTCACCCATCGATTATGTTTTCGTCGCATCAACTAAATCAAGAACAATCGAAGATTAGAGTACAAGTTTGTAGACTTGCCTGCCCGCGTTTCTTTTCGTATTGCGCGCCTCGGTCAAACCGGAAGCGGAAGTGCCACTAAGCGTTATGAAGATCCCTGAGCGGATAGGCTTCCCGAAAATGAAAATATGAAGAAGAAAAAATTAAAACTCTGCTATTTTTTATTTATTTCATATATTGTTACAGATAGGCATACAATCTGAGAATTACATTTAATAGAAATATAAAATAATTAAACATATTTGCAAATGTGAGACATCCTTCTTGCCCTTACTTTGAAGAAGAATATTTACTTCTTCCGGGAACAACCTATTTCATGGGAAAAGTGACAGATCAGAAGGAACTGTCGATACGAAGCAGTTTAGAGTAGACGTTTCTGTAACTTTAGATTTTTTTTAAAAAAAATTAATGAATATAATTTTAAACTAAAGTGTGTAATTTTTTTAACCCGTAAAATGGTATTTTACTTTACGAGTGCGGGTGAGTAAAGCCACGTTGTTTACAGCTGAAACAGTGCTAGCTTTTAGCCTGGTTAGCCTGCTTTTCACAAAGCTATTATATTATATTATGTTATATTATATTATATCATATTATATTCATTCCTTAAATAATTTACCATTTGTTTAATCTTTTATGGTGTGATTCCATAACGACTTTCAAGTTTGCGATCTTAGTCCTTTCATATTTTTGTGTTTTATGTCCTATAAAGTTGCTTTCATTTAGTTATTGTTATATTTCTCCTGTGTCGCTGTCGTTGTAAAGCCTTGCCATGTTTTTGGAACCTGTGTGTGGCAGTAAATATTCATTTGCTGTTAACATTTCTTATTATTTCTCATCTTTCAGTGGTGGATCCTCCCCACACTATTTACATGGGAAAGGACAAATATGAAAGTAAGCCTAGTTGCATCAACACACAGTGAACCTTGGGTTCAGATTAGTTTTATTTGTTTTATCTAGTCGGTGTATAGCTTTGCCAAATAACTTCTGTTAACGTCAACAGATGAAGACCTAATCAAGTATGGTTGGCCTGAAGACATATGGTGAGTTAATTAATTTGTGTCTGACATAATTATTATTCTTTAACCTGAGTTAAATCCTTTATTAAAAGCATTTTATATATTGGAATTTGTAACTTTTATTTCATTTCTTTGGTCAAGGTTTCATGTTGACAAACTGTCTTCAGCTCATGTTTATCTAAGATTGCCTAAGGTAAGGAATAAAAAAAAAAAAGAAAAAAAATATTAACTAAAATACACCAAGTTTGAAATACATCACACACCTTGTACCTTCTCTGTGGTTGTTTCCCAGGGTCAGACCATAGACACTATTCCTCCAGAGGTGCTGATAGACTGTGCACAGCTGGTGAAAAACAACAGCATCCAAGGTGCAACACCAGTTTTTATTTTTCCGCCTTTGACATTATGTTCTACATACCCTCATCTCAGAATTGGAATTATGGTGGACGTTCCTTGTGTGTTTTCAGGATGCAAGATGAATAACATAAATGTCGTTTATACACCATGGGCCAACCTGAAGAAAACTGGAGACATGGACGTAGGACAGATAGGATTTTATCGACAGAAAGATGTCAGTGAATGTCAACCGACATAAAATCTTTTGAATTATTTAACAAATTGATTTTTAGCAAACTAAACATGTGCACTATGTTCAGTAACATATGTAGACCTGGTTTCAATATCTGCCGTGCGTTTCTCAGGTGAAAATTGTAGCTGTGGAAAAGAAGGTTAACGAGATTGTTAACCGCTTGGAAAAAACAAAAGAGGAACGTTTCCCAGACCTGGCAACAGAGAAGGAGTCGAGGGATCGGGAAGAGAGGAACGAGAAAAAAGCTCAACTCCAGGACCAGAAGAAAAAAGAGAAGGAAGAGCAGAAAAGAAAAAAGGAAATGGAGGAACTCAGGTACACCAGTGGGTGGTTGTCAAAAGATATAGAGGTTTTATTTTTTATACACTGTACTTACATATGTCTATATATGTATGTACATATATATTTATACATGTAAAACCTATTTTATTTTAATCTATTTTAATTTTAATTTCTTTCCCTTTGCAGGAATTATTCATCACTGATGAAGACTGAAAACATGAAGACAAATGAGGTGAGGATGGCGGAGATAACACTGTGGTTTCACATAGGAATCTGTTAGAAATGGTAACTGATGATGTTTTTTTTTTTTTTTTTTTAAGTGAGTTACTACTTTAACCAGATTCTTGTTAACAGACCTAGAAAAATATTCCAGGTTTAGAATCTCATAAAAAAGTAATTTACTGTCTTTAACTTTTTTAGGATGGATATGACTCTGACGACTTCATGTAAGACTTGAAGCAGACGACGTCTCCACCACCACTGATCAGATCTACTGTCAGGAAGCTCACCTGGCTGCTTTTGCTTGCTGTTACTCTGCACTGACATTTTTGGGAAAAAGGTTTAAAAGAGAAGAAAACAAAGAGAAAATGCATACCTTGAACTTGTGGGACATGAGGCAGAGAGCGAGCCAGTGGACGGAAGCACAGCGTCCGGAATTATTCCCGTTCTTGACTGCTTCAGACTCTTCACAGCAAGACGAGAAAGAAAAAAAAATCATAATTAAGGCTCATTTACAGAGAAAGGTTTATTCAGCCGAACAGTGTGTGATTGGTTGTTGTTTTTTTTTGTACTGCATTTAAAACTTATGTTGAAGAAGAAAAAGTAATATCTATATGGACCTACAGTACCTGTTCACCTTATTTGCATTTTCCTGTATTAGATCTGATTCAATACAAATGTTGTATGAATTAAATTCTTTGACTTGCTTATTGTTGTAGGTTATTTTTTTGTCTTATGTCTAATTAAACATTAAAACAGGAGTAGAGGTAGTAAAGGTGTATGAGTTTAAATACCTGGGGTCAATCATCCAAGGAAAGGCTGGATGGAGTGGATGGAGACGAGTGTCAGGAGTGATTTTTAACAATATAGTCAGGTTCGTGTCAGGTTAGAGACAGTGGCTCTGTGTATTACACAAAAGGCCGAGTAAGAGGTGGAAGAGACTAAGACGGTAATATTTTAACTGGCAATGACCAGGGTGGACAGGATTAGAGATGTGCAGACGTGTATTCGGGCAAAGCAGCAAAAAATTCCACCAACGTCTATAAAACGTAACTTGGAGGATGCGGGCATCGATCCCGCTACCTCTCGCATGCTAAGCGAGCGCTCTACCATTTGAGCTAATCCCCCACTCTGTAGCGCCGTTCAACTTTATGGGTATACAAACATACACATCACGCGACAGTTTGCTATAATTCTATGTCAATACAATATATTAAAAAGACAACTAAACTATTTTCAACCACATACTGTATTTTACGGAAGCGTATAGTATTTTGCTCTAAGATTGCTTAAAATCACCCGCAGGAGACGAGTCGCAGAAATTCAAATGTTAACGTTTAATAATATTCTAGTAATAAGGTATAATGACATGACTTACGACTTTGTATTTATGGAAAGGCTCGTTTTGAAAGTGAGCCGCGTTTATAAATATTGCTAAATTTATCTGTAAAGTGAACGGGAATTGGCGTGTTGTAATGATGAGAGTCGGATTGTCTTTTGTGTTAATTTATTTATCTTTATTTTATTTTTAATAAGCTAATTTTCAAACACAGTTCAGTAAAATAATGTACATCTTCCCTCCATTTTCAGCAGTTTACTCGCGCCTATTCAAAACCGTCAGCAAATGCACCAATAGGAGAAGAGGAAGGACACAGCCTCTTTGGCAGCGCGACTATAAATACAAGGACACAAACTGCTGTAATCATTCTGGAGATTTAGTTTATCAAACAGTAAACATGCCTGATGCAGTCGGAGCGAAGTCAGCGCCCAAGAAGGGTTCAAAGAAAGCCGTCACCAAGGTGACCAGCAAGACTGGCAAAAAAAGGAGAAAGACCAGGAAGGAGAGCTACGGCATCTACGTCTACAAGGTCCTGAAGCAGGTCCACCCCGACACCGGTATCTCCTCCAAGGCTATGAGCATCATGAATTCATTCGTAAGTGACATCTTCGAGCGCATCGCCTCCGAGGCTTCCCGCCTGGCCCATTACAACAAGCGCTCCACCATCACCTCCAGGGAGATCCAGACCGCTGTCCGCCTGCTGCTGCCCGGTGAGCTGGCCAAGCACGCCGTGTCTGAGGGAACCAAGGCCGTCACCAAGTACACCAGCTCTAAGTAAGCTGTCGTCAGCTCCTTCAATCCAAACCAACGGCTCTTTTAAGAGCCACCCACTTCAATCATAAAGGATCATTCTCTAATTTATTACAATCATATTACAGTATCTTTAAATAAATGGTGAAAATAAACCTTTTAAGTGTATGTATTTCAACTCAAAGTTGCTGGGAAACGTTGTTTTCCAGGCCTGATTAACTTTGCATTTCATGTCTTAGGGAGGGAATAGAACCGCCAGAATTTGAATAATTATGACGGGTGGTGTATAGATCAGCAGATTTGGTTTCAGTGATTTCAATTGTCAACTGCTACTTACTGACTCGACAGAAAATGTATTGACGCGCCAAAAGTGTTGTCTCCGTTCGCAGGTGCCAAAGACTAAAACCTAGATTGAAAAATCTCTCTAGTCTCTGACTTATTTCCATAGAAATGTTTGATTAAGGTCAATCGGTAACGGAAAAATGCCTAAAATACACAAATCGCACTTGGCTACAATCACTTCTGATAATGACAGTATACTGCAGATATATTTATGCATAAAGCCGGATTCTAGTTTATCGAGGGGGATTAGCTCAAATGGTAGAGCGCTCGCTTAGCATGCGAGAGGTAGCGGGATCGATGCCCGCATCCTCCAATTTTTATATCTTTTATTTTTTAAAAAAAATCAGGAATTTTGTAACGCTTTTACTTCGTTTACCGGTTACGTCTCACCATTGATACACATTAATCAAGTTGTCAATATGAGTGGAGACAGGAAACTTCAACCATGTATTTAGTTGTTAAATGGGAGTGCTATCTTTCTTGCCGTTTTAATAAAAAAGTTAGACGGATTACAAAGAAGCACGTACAAGCCGACTGTATGTTAATAAAGGTATTATTATAAAAGGATTTCAGGTTTGTTGTTGTCTGAGCCCAAGTGCTAAAAGGCCAGTGGATATAAATACACAAACTTTACAATAATCGTAAATAAACTAGTCTCCAAAGACAGGACCAGGGTAAATGTACACAAGCAGAGGATACCTAAAAATGAATTTTAAACTACAGCAGTCAAAAGGTAAATGTGTAAACGTAGGAGTGTAGCTTTCTTCTATTTTATTTTGAAAGGACCGAAACGTCAGTGTACGTGGAACTGCAACATTCCAAGCGCATTGATTGGATGACAACTTTCAGGAAGGTTTTGACCAGTAAAAACGATACTGGGGGGGCAGGGTTATATAAATACGCTCACAGGAGGCTTGACGAGTTCATACGACAGTGATCGTTACTACTGTAATACCATGTCTGGAAGAGGTAAAACCGGTGGAAAGGCCAGAGCTAAGGCTAAGAGCCGCTCATCCAGGGCCGGACTCCAGTTCCCCGTCGGTCGTGTTCACAGATTGCTCAGAAAGGGCAACTACGCTCAGCGTGTCGGTGCTGGAGCTCCCGTTTATCTGGCCGCTGTGTTGGAGTATTTGACCGCTGAGATCCTGGAGTTGGCCGGAAACGCAGCCCGCGACAACAAAAAGACCAGAATCATCCCCCGTCACTTGCAGCTGGCTGTCCGCAACGACGAGGAGTTGAACAAGCTGCTCGGTGGCGTCACCATCGCTCAGGGCGGTGTTCTGCCCAACATCCAGGCTGTTCTACTGCCCAAGAAGACTGAGAAGGCCGCAAAGACCAAGTAAATCAGCAATTTAAGCTGCTGATCCCCAACGGCTCTTTTAAGAGCCAACCACAACAATCTTAAAGACGCAGTTCCTGTAAATATATGCGGATGTTTGCGGCTGTTTTCAGAGAGTCGACTTCTAAACGGCTCTTAATTTTAGGACTTTTATAGACCTTTATTTTACTATAACTTTGCAAAAAATGTATGGTTTGTATGTTAAACCCTGTCGTGTGCAGTATTTTTATGAGAAGCCTTGTGATTGCCTAATTGTATGTATTTGTTCTGTTACAAAACTATTTTGTTTAACATTTTAATTAAAAAAATTGATAGCACAAATTAACAAAACTGCAAATAAATCCACAGAACTAGAACCAAACTCAAGGATGACTCGCTCAGTTTCAGTACACAACTACACGAGCCACTCACACCCACCGGTGTCTGTATTAGACAGGCAAGAAAATTAGACAGAAAATTAAGGATCTCCACTTCACAGTGCCCCCCTCTCTGTTTCCACATGATGGTATGATCCTATATCCTCACATCTGATTGGCCGCAATACTGGGGTAAACAGCGGAAGGAAATAAACTGGGAGCCGGCTCTTCTGATTCACCACAAAGCATCGGCTCTCAGAGCCGCATCTTTTGCGCATGACACATCACTAGCGCTTGGCAAGATTAACAAAATAAAAGCTACAACTGGTCTGTCAAGAATATGGAATATACAACACTGACACAATACTCCCCCCAGAACTGTTAGTAATGAGGGATATAAGTAAATTACGTCACATATGACATGTATATATTTCCAGCCAAAGGGAGCATTTCTAAAAAAACAATTAAAAACATAAGTAACGATAAGAAGAGAGACATTATAACTCGACGTTTTCCATCTATTAAAACTGTTGTTTGAAATAAAGACAAAACAAATTCAACAAATCCAGTTTTAATGTTCAAGTTATTGAATTATTTTACAACCACTCGAACGTGAGTTAATCTCTTTGGGACCTAAAAGAAAAACCCCGCCATTATTTGAAAAACAAAACAGGCGCGCTGGGGCCACACCACAGTAAACGCAGCTCTCTGTCACGTCCTCTGTCTGGTTGTATAAAAGCGCCGCCCTGTTTGCTGTTTCAACATTCTGTGTTTCACAGTCCAACAACCTGTATTGAAAATGAGCGGACGTGGAAAAGGAGGAAAGGGACTCGGCAAAGGAGGCGCCAAGCGTCACCGTAAAGTTCTCCGTGATAACATCCAGGGAATCACAAAGCCCGCCATTCGCCGTCTAGCTCGCCGTGGTGGAGTGAAGCGTATCTCCGGCCTGATCTACGAGGAGACTCGTGGTGTTCTCAAGGTTTTCCTGGAGAACGTGATTCGTGACGCCGTCACGTACACCGAGCACGCCAAGAGGAAGACGGTCACTGCCATGGATGTGGTCTACGCTCTGAAGAGACAGGGCCGCACCCTGTACGGATTCGGAGGTTAAGCCTGATACCTGCATACGTTAAAACCCAACGGCTCTTCTAAGAGCCACCCACTGTTTCTTTAAAGATCACATTCCCGCTCAATATTTGAAGACATATATAATGATTATACTTATTATAATTGTTACCGCACTACTGAACTCTGTGTGAGACTCGAGGAACCCAAATCAGGAACCATAAACGTGGTTTGTCGCATTTATTATTACATGGAGACACCGTCTAAAATGGCGGCCTAGTTTCCGTTAAAGACAGTCTTTCTGTCCCTGAATTCGTATTTATCCCACCTTTTGTACTCCGATCTCTCGACACCATTTTTTAAATATAAAAACATTTCTATAGCATATACCAAAACATTAAATTCTGTAACATATTTTACTCAGACCGTTTAGTTCCCTTGTAAATATTATCTTTACAATCACTACTCTTTTAACTAATGATAACGTTATAATTAATATCGTTATTGTTGCTTATTTAAATAACTGGTGTATATCTAAGACACAATTCGCGCTTTTGTAAATGTTTGGAATATGGAGTATTTTCACTGCTATTAAAGTAAATGTTAAATCTGCCATTGGCCCCCTCCTGAATATGATGTATTATTTTTACTTGCATTGTCACCCATTTTCTTTTATTCTGTCCAGTACGAAAAGTTATCTTTAATAATTGGGCTTTGATAATAACGTTAATATGTACGCACATTAACTTCACTTTATTCTTCACCAACACGGTCCTGAATGGGTTAAAGAGTTTCAACCGTTAAAACCTCCTCCCCAACACAGAGGGACAAATCGGCCAATTACAAGCGAGGTACACTACAGCTTATTTTACATACAAGTTGTATAAATAAGCAAGTATCTGCGTCACAGAATTCATACGTCTGAAAAACAAAAATGCCTGAACAAGCCGCCAAATCCGCTCCGAAGAAGGGCTCCAAGAAAGCCGTCACCAAGACTGCCAGCAAGACTGGAAAGAAGAGGAGAAAGACCAGGAGGGAGAGCTATGCTATCTACGTGTACAAGGTCCTGAAGCAGGTCCACCCTGACACCGGTATCTCCTCCAAGGCCATGAGCATCATGAATTCGTTCGTGAACGACATCTTCGAGCGCATCGCCTCCGAGGCTTCCCGCCTGGCCCATTACAACAAGCGCTCCACCATCACCTCCAGGGAGATCCAGACCGCTGTCCGCCTGCTGCTGCCCGGTGAGCTGGCCAAGCACGCCGTGTCTGAGGGAACGAAGGCCGTCACCAAGTACACCAGCTCTAAGTAAGCTGCTGTCAGCTCCTTCAATCCAAACCAACGGCTCTTTTAAGAGCCACCCACTTCTATTAAAGAACATTCTCGGTTCACCAAATAAAAAAATATATTTTCAGAAATATTCATTACAATTGTTATGAACATCAACTCGTCCATAATTTCTCTACATTTCGAATTACCAGTTAAGAATGAAACCGTAGAGCAGATTAAGTCTTGCCATAAAATGGTGCTACTGTAATATATAAATATATACTTCAAATTTCACAATCTATAAACAGCAAAAGTGACAGAGCACTGTTTTCCCATGATGCCGTTCTTGCATCCTGACCAGTGTCTATTCTGGTGGTACAAATGAAATTACTTCAGACTTTGTGTGAATACACAGTACTTTCTCCTGAACTACGAGTTGTTGTTGAACTTTTAATAATCATAGTTTTCTTCTCCACAGTGGTATCGTAATACTGCATTTTACTACTATTCATCTGTCAGTTAAACCATATCTTCATTTAAAGATAAAGTATTATCATCATTAGTCCCTATGATGTAGGAACTTTTTTTTTTTCTAATACCACACAAGGCCAACACTAACACTATTATAAACATGGATTATAATCCATTAGTGTCAAGAGTATACC